TAACTTCCTATTATTTTAGGTGCTGGTGCTACTTTTCCATATATTCCAGTTTACGGAAAGCAACTTGGTATTTCGCCATTAGTTGCAGGTATTATTGGCGCAATTTTTCCAATACTGGGCCTGATAGCGAAACTAATATTTGGCTTCATCACAGACTATTCTCAATGGAGAAAATTCATCTTTATAATATTGATTATAGTATCAAATGGCTCTTATCTTATGGTATTCTTTTTACCGTCATTGCCAGGCCCAACGTTGCTGGATCATCATTTTCAAAATATTTCGTATGCATCTCTATCGCAATGCGAAATGGAATACGTAAGTTAAAGTTAATTTCAAAAGTCTATAATATCACTTAGTAATATGTTAATACATATAAACGTATAAGTTAATTTATATAATTATATTCTATGTATAATATATGTCAATTAATTTTGAAAAATTACTTAAACATATTAAAAGTGTAAAATAGCATATTATCAATAAAATTTAATTGTTAGTGCTCGTTAGTCAAAGGAATGTTTAGTTTAAATCTTTAATTGTTTTTTATTCAAGCATGCAACAGCGATTGCATCGTGTAATGGTACAAAAGACACTACGTGTCGTTGGATATGTAACGATATGAATTTTTCCATGGGATTGTCTTTTCATCCAGACCAACAGAGAGCAATTATCTCACCAGATACGGCATGCTTGTTAAATGTTAATGAGACGTCATTGAGCCAAGAAAATGTAACAAATAATTATAATTGCGAAGTCACTTGTGATAATTTCAAAGATCAATGTGTATATACATCTATTAGTTTTTGGAGTTATATCCTCTTGTGGTCTTTTGGCGAGATTACTTATTTTACGTCCATGAGCATAGGAGATGCAATTTGTTTAAATATATTAGGTGTGTGAGTTTCTAAACATAAATTTTAATGCTGATTGCCAAAAAATATGAAACTTTGGTCATACAAATCATACAAATTAAATTTTTACAATAAATAATTTTCTAGTTTTATAAAATAATATTATGTAAATATAAGATATATTATTTTTAAAATAAAGATTTCCTTTCCAGGACAAGGTAAACAGTCAAAATTTGGAAAACAGCGACTGTGGGCCACAATGGGTTACGGCATTGCAGCATGTTTATCCGGATATATGGTGGACTTATGGTCACAAGACGAAATCCATAAAAATTACACCCCAATGCTTATTCTCGTGCTCATATTTATTTGCGTCGATTTCATCTGCTGTATAAAATTGCAGGTGATTGTTTTATGCATTTTAAAATAGAACATAATCTAGATCAACGGCGCATAGTTTCGTTTTTGTCTTATTGCATGCAGATTTTTGTTGCAGATACCACTTGAAAAAGGATCGGCAACCATATTGAAGGATGTATTTACACTTTTGAAATCAAAATCTATTATTATATTTTTGTGTTTTGTTGCTTTTGCCGGTATCCAATATACTATCAAGCGTAACTTTTTGTTGTGGTAAACTTTTATCCTTTTCGGCACGGAGACAATATACATTCGCTTATCTGTCGTTTCATAAAATGACAGATAAAATAAGATTTAAAATAAAATTAATTATTAAACAAAGGGAAAAACGGCGTAATCGATCAGGGACTGGATCTTGCTTGTCCGAATAATATATTAATTCTTGATTGACTTTTTACGTACAATTCTTTGTCCTGGCAGACCACGCGCCGTTACTTTCGAACATAACGCAGTCTCAACCAAAGCCAGAACGATACAATCACACAATTAAATTAATATCAATTTAATTTTATTAAAATATACACAAGAAATTCGGAATAAACGGAATAATATGCGAAAATTACGAGATATATCCAGTCTTGACCAATTACGGCATTTTTCCCTTTGTTTGATTGTATATCTTATACGGTCGTACAATCTTAAAATTAATTACATTTAATGTAATTTGATTTTACAGGTATCTAGAAGATCTCGCTATCGCGACCGGTTATATGAATAAAGTTAAATTGATAGAAGGATTAGTCATAGCAGCGGAAACTTTCGGTGGCGAAGTATTATTCCTCTTCTTTTCTGGTAACTTTAGTTACTTCTCATCAAAATTTGTTACGTATACGACGGTAATACATAATTAAATGCATTTTTTTTTCCTAAAAAATATGATTCCTTTTTCAGGCAAAATACTGCAGAAGTTTGGATATGGTTACACTTTTATATTCTGTTTTGTATGTTCCTCACTTCGGCTGGCATTAGTATCTCTATCTCCAACGCCATGGTGGATAGTGCCGATAGAATTAATCCTGCAAGGACCATCGTATGCCCTTTGCTTAGCAACAATAATAGCATACATGAACGTAGTAACACCACCCGGTGCTTCAGCTACTGTTCAAGCACTTGCTCAAGGCATATATGACGGTTTCGGTAAAATTTGCTTGGTTGCATTCATCGAGAACTACTCTATTTAAAAAACTTTACATTTACATATAATTCATATATTATATAAAAAGTATGTATACAGGGTTTCTATAAAGTCTGTTGTCACCTCTATATATCGCAAACGGCTCAAAATAATAAAAAAACACGAAATACGTGTTCGATCATTTCGAGGGGCTACTCTTTTATAAGTTACTTTTTTTTTTTTTAATTCTTTTAAGAAAGTAACTTAAAAAAGTAGCCCCTCGAAATGATCGAACACGTATTTCGCGGTTTTTTATTTTTATTTTATTATTTTGAGCCATTTGCGAAATATAGGGGTGACAAAAGACTTTATAGAAACCCTGTATATGTATTTTTATGCTTAAATGATTGTTATCGCTCTGAAATGTTACATTATTCCTAGGAATGTCGGTTGGCAGTTTGACAGGTGGTATCTTGTATAAGACATTTGGCGGTACAATAACTATGAGAATATTTTCAGTATTTGCAGCACTTTCTGCATTAACATATTTTATTCTTTATATTTTATACATAAAGCATAAAACACCAGGTAAGGAATGAAATAATTTTAATAGCCAAATTGTGAAAATTTTTTTCAGAATATTGTTAAAGAGCAGCAGGTTTCTTTTGTTGTAGATTCGCGCAACAATGTTGAATGGGAAACACCGGATGATGCGCATAGACACTGTGTAGTAGCAGAAACATGACATGAATCTTCTTACTCTTCTTTATATAATAAGAGAAATTATAATACGATATTTTTATGTAAATTACGATAAATCGCTATAATTAGTCATGTTTCTACATAATACAATTTTGTTACAAATATTATGCGACAGATTTTTAGAAAAATTGTAATTAAATTACTATATTAAATTACTATTAAATGTAATTTATTTCGACCTTTAATGGCGATATTTGATCACTTTTCCACGGGTTTAGACGAATAAAAATGCTATAAGATAAGAATACGATTATATTCAGCAATCCAAAAAAATACATGTATAATTTACGTTATATTACACTTTTTAAGCCAAAACCGGCCCATTTTACCCATCGTTCTTTAGTCTCGATTCTTCTTATTATTTTTTTTTAATTATTTGATAATTTTATGAACAAAATATCGCGAAAGTTAAACATGAACGAATATTTAATACTTGCAAATTTATCTGTCCATTTATACATAACAATGCGTACGAAAATTTTATGAGCATTGTCAGTAAAATATTTTTAAATTTATGACATTATGGTAATTGTGATTTTTTTTTACTTTTTGTAGATAATAACAGACATATGTATAATCATATGCATAATGTTATATGCAACAGCTAAAAATAATATATGTGCATATTGTTAAAACATCTTCTTCGGGCTCGCAAGTACATTGTAATTATAAGTTTTTATCTGCATTCACATATTTTATTCTTTATGTTTTATATTTAAGGCATAAAACACCAGTTAAGAACTTAAGTAATTTTAACAGTCGGAATGTGACAATTTTTTTTCAGATTGTCGAAGTGTATCAGGTTTTTCTTTTATTGTAGATTTATGCAATAATATTGAATGGAAGAAACTAGATGATGCATGGAGACATCGTGTAACAGAAATATAATATCAAATACTTTTAATTTTTTTATACAATAAGAAAGAGTATAATACAATACAACATTTTTATGTAAATCACGATAAATCGCAATAATTTGTAACATTTCTACATAATACAATTTCACGACAAGTATATTTTACACAATAAATTCTTAGAGAATTCGTAATGTTTATGTAATTTTACAATTTATATCATTATTACTATTATTATTGAAAATATAAGTAATGCTTCCATTGCTTGAAACGCAGAATGTTTTATCAGACATTTTTAGATATAATTTTGTAGCGACATTTTTAATAATTTAAAGACTTAAGACATTTTTAATAATTCAAAGACATTTTTATTATTTTTGTTGTAGTTGATTATTTTAGTTTAAATAGTAGCATAAATATTAAAGTAGGTTTGTCCATCGGAGGGACTTCTTATCTTATCCCAATCTACAACCGTCAAGATAGCGCTTGTATGTCAGTTCCTGCAACTCATATACACATCAACAAATAGTGTAGTGATGTATGCGTGAAGATATAATTCCAGCATCTATACTTTTCTACTAATTTCTCACTAGATTGCTCAACAAGAAGATGCTAATAAGGAGTAAGCTTTTCAAGTCACGAGTAAAAAGTGGCTTGAACAAATATCACACATTGAAAATAATCTGTTATATATTTATCAACTTATTTACTTTAGTTATTTTTCTTTACTAAATTCTGTTTGCTACAAATAATATTTACAACTAAATATTGAAAATAATCTGTTATATATTTATCAACTTATTTACTTTAGTTATTTTACTTTACTAAATTCTGTTTGCTACAAATAATATTTAACACTAAATATTGAAAATAATCTGTTATATATTTATCAACTTATTTACTTTAGTTATTTTACTTTACTAAATTCTGTTTGCTACAAATAATATTTAACAACTAAATATACAATACAATATGTCCCTCTTCTAAGAATTTTTACTTCCAACAAGTTTTATTTAACAACTGAATATGCATTGTAAAATATGCATTTTTTAAAGAATTTATTAGACACAAATATATGATTATTTATGTAAATATTGTAAATAACGAAGACCAGTGTATTATATATGACCGCTTGATATGCAATACTTGATAATTTTGTAATGTATGTGTGTGTGTGTGTGTGTAAACTTTTAAAAAACCCATGCAGAGTTTTTGCACAGTATTGTCAACAACCGCAGCGAATAATTGCATCATCAGTACGATCTATACTATACAGTTTACATTGAATTAATATCTACATATAATGAAAAAAGTATTTCTTTTGTGATCGACATTCATAAATCATTAACGCTTTCGCGATTGTTTACAAATATTAATTATTTAGTTGCATGACTTTCTATATAGTTATTACAAGGTATTTAATAATTATTGTGCTAACACACACACACACACACACAACACTATCTCTTGTAAATAAAGCGAGTTAAACTAAATTGAAAAGTCCTTTATCATTTCACGAGATTTTCGGTAATTAACAAAAAATTAATAAATAAATATCCGCGAATCAGGGTGTGTCCAGTGTAAATATGGATAATTTGAAGAAATATTAATAATAAATTTTACCTATACAGAAAATTATGCTATTAAATTAATATATTTAAATACAATGATTCTAATTTTAGGTGTGGGTTTTATTTTCCCATTTCTACACGTTTACGGAAAACAAATTGGTATTTCACCACTAATTATTGGTAGTATCGCTATGATTTTGCTTGTACACACTCAAGGGTGGAGAAAAATATTCTTTCTATTATTACTTGTCATAGGAAATAATTACCACCTTATGACATTTTTCTTATTCCACTGTCAGGTCTATATGCCCCATCAGAGTATCACTTTCAAAACATGTCTTGTGTAACTTTACCGCATTGTGATACGGAATATACATATAAGTTTATATTTTTTTACAATTGTGTAGTTTATTGATAGATTAAATTTTGAGCATATTTACTTTCATACATTATTTTACATAATATTTTATATAAATTTTTGTAATAAATTTTTGAATTTTATGTAAATTCAAAAATTTCTAAAAATGTCAAAAATTTCTAAAACATATTACATATTTAAAATATGTTATAAATATATAATAACTTATAAATGTAACTCAAAACTTTTATCAAAAACTCTAAAAATATAAAGGCATAAAAGACAAATTACATCTTTAATAATATCTAATTCTTAGTATTTCTTAATACAAAACATGTTTAATTTTAATTCGTTCTTTATTCAAACATACCTCAGCAGTAGCATCGTGTAACGGTGTAAAAGACACAACATGTCATGATGTCATCGGGTAACGTAAGAATACTAATTTTTCCATGCAATTGTCTTTTCATGCAGATCAAAGGAAAGCAATTATCTCACCAGATGGCAGATATTACAGGCTTATTAAATATCAATGAGACGTCATTGTGTCAAGGAAATGCAACAGATTATAATTGTAATGTTACTTGTGATAATTTCAACGATGATAAATGTCTATACACATCTATCACATTTTAGGGTTTTGTCCTGTTGATGTGTTTTGGAGACATTGCCTTTTATGCTTTCATTAGTTTAAGCTATACGATTTATTTTGTCATATTAAGTATGTAATGTAATTTTACAAGCATAAAAGCAAATTACCATAATATAAAAATTTAAATACAAATCAAATTTTTGCAATAAATAATTTTGTATTTTTCAATAATGATATTACGTAAAAGAGAGATACTATTTTTAACAACGTTTACTTTCTCAGAAGAAAGTAAAACCCATCAACAAGACAAAACCCTAAAATGTGATAGATGTGTATCGATATTTTATCATCGTTGAAATTATCACAAGTAACGTTGCAGTTGCAATACGATAAGCAGCGACTTTGGGGTACAATCGATTTCGGTGTTGTAGCATGTTTAACTGGATACCTTGTGGATAGACATGTGGTCACAGAAAGAAGTCTACAAAACTTACACACCGTCAATATTTTTGTATGACAATATTTACTTGTATCGATCTGCTGCATAAAATTAAAGGTGATTGCGTTTTATGCATTACAAATTCAAAAATGAACTAGGACAATAGCATATAGTTTTGTTCTTGTGTGTTATCTTCATGTTATCGTACATTTTTGTTACAGTTGTCATTTGAATCAGAATCGACAACCATACTGAAGGATGTATTTATACGCTTTTGAAATCAAAATTTATCGTTATATTTTTATGTTTCGTTACATTTGATCTTAATCAGTGGTATTATATT